ACACACACACACACACACACACACACACACACACACACACACACACATACACACGCACATTCATATACACTTGCACACACACTAACGCACACATACGTTTTAAGATCCGTCGATTGTTTTGACGTTGTTGGGAAATGTAAAAATTAAACATTAAATTAAGTATAAGTTAAAAATGCTAAAAGTGCATTTATAACTATGGAAGAGCGGCGCCTCCTGACAGAGGTTTGATAAGCTTAATAGGAGGTACCATCCACTGTTAATATAAAGTTAACTGTATTACTGAAATAAACATTTACGTAATATTTACTATAAATGCCCTAAGCTTAAAAAAAAAACTCAAAAAGCACATTCGGGAAATATGCTGTCACCGTTACTCTACCGCAAGAATAGAACAAAGCTCAGCTAAGCAAGGCGAGGAAGGCAGTATTTTATGCCTTCTTCAGTGATATAATCGAATGTGTTACAAGGGGTTTTTAGTTCTATAAATAAATATATTTCTAACAGAGAAAAACGTGTGACACTTGTCGTTTTACCGGGTTAGATAAAATTTATACGATTACTCACTGCTTATGAATTTAGAGGTTCAAGAACTTCACAAACCTTTCAAGTATTTCAAATTGGTACGTTAACCAAAAATACTAGCGCAGCTATGCGTTAACATTCTAAATGTAAGCTTTTGACATTGCCCCTATTTCATAATGACGTCACATTTTCTTGTGAGCTTTCATTGTTTGATTAAGATACGTATTCGGGTTTGTTATCTTTTATTTCAATTACAGAATATAAAAGAGATGACGTTAACGACATTTTCAGCTAACAATACTGTATCTCATAGAAAGTTGGTAGATATACTTGAGATTTTTGTGAAATAAAACTATTGTGCATTGTCTACAGACTAAACTACGCTCTATGTGGTCTATCGCCGTGGTGGTGGCACGCGTGCAACGCGGTGCTCCACGCCGCGTGCTGCGCATTAGTAGCGCGCGCAGCTGGCGTGCTGGCGCGCCTGCACCGCCCGTTCGCTGCCCTCGCCGCGCTCTTGTTCGCAGTACACCCCGTGCATACAGAAGCTGTGAGTATATTTACATAGTAGACGCATATCACCGCACCCAGGCTCAAAGTGAGTAAAGATCTCCAATACCATTCATACTACCAGTTTGTTTTACGAAACTTCTCACGCTATTTGAAATGAATAAATACTTATTTTTCAATGTCATGTTCTAGACCAAATATCTTCTTATCGTATCGATGGCATACACTACAATGCTTGCCATCATGGCGAAAGGATTTGCCACTCGTCTTATGTTACTTACGGATTATTGCGCCGGGTGTGCGAGACGTACAAGATATGAATGATTCGCTGTGCGGGAACGCTTCTTTTGTGTACCCCAGCAAATGTCTTAACACAAGATCGTCACTGATTAGCCTTGTACATACGCGTAAAGTACCTATGAATGTAATATAGACGCCATTATTTCCAGTAATATAAATACATGGTAAAATAAATACATGAATTGTTATCTATTCAGCAAAGAAAACAACGGTTAAGATAATTTTTCATCCTCGCAACTTTCCATAATGCGATGTATTTCCGAGGCTGTATGAATAATTCAGTGCAGCGATGCGTTTCCCGCTCTAAATGCAAGCTCTTGACACCGCCCCTATTTTCTCATGACGGCTTGTTTCCTTGTGAGCGTTTCATTATTTAGTCACGATTCGAATTCGGGTTTGTTGTCTCTTATTTCAGTTACAGAACATGAGAGAGATCACCTTTTTGTCCTTTACAATTTATATTGCTATTCAAAGTGGATAATATAAGACTTAACCGCTCACGCGATACATGCAGCCGTAGACGCATACCACACCTAGAGGTGCCGGTGATGATTTTATTACCGATTTATCGGATATCGAAGTTATAACAGGTAAAAGAACTAATATTAATTGCTACTTCGGTAACTACTCTAGCAAACCATAAAGTTTTTAATGCCTGGGTCTGTCATTTAAAAAAATAAACAACTTCAAAAATTCGTCACGACAATCGTGTGTGTTATTGTTTGGGCTGGTGATTTCGGTGTTTATTTATTGAAAACATACCGTAAGTAGCGTTTTTTAAGTTTACCCTGATTATAAATGTTTATAAACTATACTTTAAGGAGTAATTTCATGGTATACGTTAGAACCACTCAAACGGAATATTATCATATTTATCCAAGTACACCAAAAATTTCATTAATGCTTTTTAAGTGCAGGATTTGCGGTGTATTACTGCATTTTATTTGAGATGTTTTTGTTGGTAGTACGGAGGGTATTTATTTAGCAATACAGAATAATAATTTTTATTTATAAAAACTTGTATTTAAACTGAATCCTGTTCTAATTTGCGAATCCAAATAACCGCCATTTTGCGGTAGGAGGAGCGCATCGCGTGAGCGGATAATAGATAGCTCCGCACCAAACAGAATGTGGAATGCGTAGCGCGTAATTGAAACGAGCGATCGGAGCAATCACTGACACGAGATTATCCATTATGCCACAGGCATGCAAAACTAGATCGCAACACAATAAACAAGTGATTACAACCTTATGGCAATGAATTTCAGGTACGCTAAAATGTACATATAATCGAATCTGAAAACAATTGACAAATGCACCTCGAACTTAACAAAGTTTGGAAATATTTTGAGCACTCTGAACGTATTAATAAAATTTACTGCTTTGGAGGCATAGACATTTTTGCAGCTGTACGAGCGACAAGTAGTAATTATACGTTGGCATTGTGACAAATCTCGCAAGACGCGCGCTCCCCATGGATTGTCTCCAATAACCAGGTCGTTTGTCTTATTTGTTTCATCGTAGGTTGTACAAATGGGGTGGTTCAATAAGAATCAATTCATGTCTGCACATCGATGTTGAGAATTTACTGACAAGGACTTCCCTACCTACTTAGGTGTTCGGCAATATAACAAGTATATATGTGGCTATCAAATGTTTTATGCGATCTTCTTTTCTTTTTCAGCCTTAGCCATTTACAATTGTTAAGTTTACAGTTCTGTTTTTTATACTAACAAATCTGGTCAATGACTTTCAATTGACACATCCAGAAATGTTGGGTTGTTGTTTTTTTCCGTTAAATTATGTTTTTCTAAATTGCACGACCTCATAATTTCAAATAAATGTTTTAAAAGTTTATGCTAAAGTTTTTAAATCAAAATAAGATAGTATGGCGTCCTGTACTTAGACCTGCAGGAAGAAATTTCTTTAAAAAATAAGCAGAATCTTTTGTTTGTGTTTTTCTTTTGGTAAATGTGAATTGTGTATGTCTTGTACGATAAATTGCGAAATAAATAAAATAAGATTTTGTATAGATTTTGAAAAACCACAACCTTATACTAAATCTTGTTTAAATGAACTTCGAACTACGAAGCGCCTATCAGGAATATCTTTATTATTACATTTTAGTCTTATGACGATCTCCATGATACAACGGTGTGCGCAAGTGTGTGTGCCCGGTAGTACTTGTCAACTTATGTCTCCCGGTGACGGGCACAGTGGCAACGTCTCTCAGATCTTTGCGAATTTCTTTGCGATTTAAAGCTCTGGGCGGCACTCCAACTGCTATGCACAGGCGTGTCGCTTACCACCAGGCGCATGATTTGTCGGTTTCGTCACTTAATAAATAAAAAGGACCCATTGAGGGAATGAACTTTTCTAAATTGTTTCCGATCTGAGTGAATTGCTTTGGTACTCAGTACGAGGAATTCCCTAGTTTGAGACCAAATTATTGCCGTGGTCGTCCGACACATCATTTATTTAGGAAATGAAACTATTTGTTTTTGTTTCACATAAACCAACGTTTGGAGCCTCTGTACAGGTCTCATGGTCACGGCTGATTGAGATGGTAGAGCCATCAACCAGTTATGTCTAATTTTCACTAATATTACAAAGTTATTAATTTAATACCTCATTATTAAGTTTCTCAAAGAAACATTCCAATTTACGATACATGTGTTTTAAAAAATTATTTTATTTCAACAATATAATTTGTCTACATAATTTAATTATAATAATAAGTAATAATGGAAATTAGAATTAGTTAAAGCATATTATTGTTACTTAGTACTGCAGGGATTTTTCATCGGAGTAAATGCTGGATCCCAAACTGGTAGTACGAGAAACCATTTTCACTGTTGAAATTAGGATGTTTTTTAGTTTTAATGCTGCCTCTCGCAGAATCCTGGGTAGATAATGGACTTCTTTGCAATGAGCTGGAGTTATTCAAACTTAATTGAGTGTGTACGTTTATACAAGACATGCGCGCAGACTGCAAACTTATTTACGCGGCGCTATGTTTGACATCAGCTGTACGTCCTTTGCAAATTTGCATCCCGTAATGGGATGTTACATTTCACGGGTCTCAGCAACTAAGAAATCTTTCTCAGGGGCTTGAAATAGATGTAGTTACACCCACGCCTGAGGATTCTTCCGATCTTGTCTGTAACACCACAACCTAAGGTAAAATGACAGGTGTTCGCTCGAATGTTGGTGGTTTGTTGGAAAAAATAAATATACGCAACGAAAAAATAGTTTCATTTCCTATGTGTAACAAGAGAAAACCTCAGAACTCGATAAATTGTTTTTTTGTTTATTTAATATAAATCAAGTAAAAATACGTTTGTTATAACAATAATAACGCATAATGATAATAACGCGTACACACTCGTAGCCCTGCACTAGGTAAACCCTGTAGGGCGGGTGCCATGGACACACAGTAGACAACCACAAATTACACCCAAACTCACGAGAAAAATAAATGTAGGCCATACAATTTTTTTTAAATTTCTCCCCGCCCGGGAATCGAACCAGGGACCTCTGCGTGGCAGTCCAGCATGGTAAACGTTCGGCCACTGAGGCAGTAATATATACTAACAGTGTAGTCGATTCTACGTACTGATTTTGAATTTCCAAGCAACTCAACACTTTTCTTGCCACCATTGTAGGCAAAGCGAGCAAGTTGAAATCAGCACAGTTAATGCAGTCACGTATTAGATGCAGCGACTGCGCAAGCACGTCTGCCGGCGTTGTATCCTCACAATGTGCATAGACATCTTTTATACTGTATTGTGCATCTGGCGAGGGAAGTTGTATCTTGGTTTGATATTTAAATAAGCTATAAATGTGTCTTAGGCCACAAATTCGCACAAATGGTATTGCGTTCAGAGGAGCGTTTAAGGTATGCGCGATACAGGACACACCAAGACAAACGTTTGCGCGCAATGTACGCGCAAACCATGAACGCCCCGCTGAATGCTCCACCGTTGCGAATTTGTGATCTCAGGAATATGTGGCATTGGTAATCATTTTTGAAACACCGAGAACAGAAATTAAAACGCTAAGCCATAAAAAGAGCTTAACCACAATGCAGTACCAAAAAATAATTCCATCAAGCATTTTTTTTTTTCAATTTGAACTTCTATTTTTAATAATTAATAATACTTGGTACTTGGTGTGACGGGCTGGTGTCCGCAACTCGACGTCAAGGCGCCTATTTTGCGTGTTAATAATAATTGGCGTTTGAAATAATTAATAATTAATTGGCGTTGGACGCTATACGTGAGGATCAAAAAAATTAAAATTAAATGAAACCATTTTCGTATCGAAATCGCGTATTTTTTTTATCCCAAATAAACCACCGTTTTATGCCCTACAGTTCCCACAGTCACGACTGACTTTTTCAGTCGTAGCCGTGATCGTGGTTCAAAGGACCCGAAACGTTGGTTTATTTGAAAAAAAAACACAATTTATTTTGGAAAAAATAGTTTCATTTCCTATGTGTAACAATCGCAAAAACTTACAAAGTCGTTAATTAAAATGAAGATAAAGAATTTCTATACCATCTAAGGTATATGATTCCAATAAAATCCTGAAAAAAAAGCTGTTATTGAACCGTGAAACGTGCTAAGCATCCCCCAGCTGAACTGTCATTGCTCTACAATGAGATACGTGCAGCAAAGAACAAAACAATACACAGTTTTCACAGCCACAGCCGACAGAGCGCTCTATTCCAGTTTTATT